TGCCACTGCCTAATTCTCTTACCCTGCTTTGTTTTCTTTCATGGCAATAACTGTATTTCTTTCTTTCTATGGCAATAAATATTATATACTTACTGAAGAGTTTATGATGTTTGTCTCCCCTGTCTCGATTGTACAACAGTTTCACATGGGTAGAGGCCTGTTTTTATTCACTGTTACATCCCCAGCATTTAGAGCAGTGCCTGGCATGTTGTAGGCACTTAATAAATATTTGTTGAATGAAATGCAACAAGTGCAATACAAAATGATGGCTATATTGGAAGTACATATATGCAGTAGGAACACAGGGGAGAGAGTGACATGACTACCTAGGAATTGAGGGAGGACTGTAAAACAGAGATGCCCTTAAGCAGAGCTTTTTGGGGAAAAAAAGTAGCTGAGGGCGTTCCATACAAAGAAAAATAATGTTGTACGTGCACAGAGGTATGACAGAATACAGTGTGTTCAAGGAATCAAAAGTATAGTACTGCTGGAGCATGACTTGTAGGGTTGAAGATTAAGTAGATGAGGCTGAACATGTGGTAGATGGCACCTGATTGGGGAGGGTTTTGATGCCTGACTTTATCCTGCAAAGTGGGCAGTAGTAGGTAGGGTAGAGCCATTAAAGGCTTTTGAGCAAGGGGTATATGTGTGTGTGTGCGTGGGTGTGTGTGTGTATTAGAAAGGGACGAAGGATGGGGATCAAAGCTAAACACAGTGTTTTATTTAAGATATTATAGGAAATGTATGATGAGGGAAAACAATTATTGTCACTTGTGTGGGCAAGAGGATATTTCATTTTATGGGCAAAACCACTGACAGTACATTTGTGAAAGAGAAGAGATGCCCGATGGAGGATTAGTCTGTTCATCTTTGAAAATCCATGTTTTAGGACAGGAGACTTTTAAAAAAAATTAGTTTAAGTTATGTGATAAGTAATAATATATACTAGAAAAGTGCTTAAGGAGTACCAGCTATGAATTCAACAGAAAAAGGTGTTGTTACAGAATAAAATAAGTTGTGCTTGAATGCCAGCCTCCTTTTTTTCATAGAGGAACAGTTGGTTGTCAGTGATATGACTCCTGATCTTGATTCATTGTTGAAGAAAATAGTGACAGTTGTAGATATAGTCAAATCTACACTATTTGCCTTAGGGGTAATATATCTGTCTTTATAGGACGAATGTTTGCTGCTACATATTGCAGTACTATACTTTTGATTCCTTGAACACACTGTGTTCTGTCATACCTCTGTGCATGTGCAACATTATTTTTCTTTGTATGGAATGCCCTCAGCTACTTTTTTTCCCCCAAAATGCACAGAATTTTTGAAGTGAGGGCTGAGCTATAAAAACATTTTTTCCTTTCATTCAAATGCAAGTGAAAACCATGTCCATTATTTCAACTGGCTTGCTCAAATGTCATATCTCAACAATATGTTGAATGTTTTGAACACTTTAGTCTTATTACTTTATGATCAAGTATGATATGTAAATTTAAGGATAAGATGGAGTTACGCAAAATGTAGTGCACATGGTTTGAATGTTGAGAATTTTATACTCTCAAATTCATGGAAACATGATATTATATTATTGAGCATATTTTTAAAACCACATTCAAATGCTACAGCAGAAGGTGAAGAAATATTTTCCAAAGGCAGATCCAACCTTACATAGAGTTAAGATCCATTTGTCTCCATTTCCCAAGTTGAAGCATTCACCTTTTGAGTGTACCGTGCTATTCAACTCACTATCTGATGGAACTGAAAGTTGTTTTCAGTGAGAAATTGCTTCATTTTTTCTGAGTCCATGTTTGATCCAGAGAGCCACATCTAGCTGACAGATTTACCAAACTCCGATGACCAGTAATGTAACATGGAATTTTCTAATTTGTTAGAAGCAAAGGGTTAGAAGAGAAACTGGTCAAGATTAGGTTATATAATCAACTCTAGCTAGTTTAAGCAAAGACTTTTTAAAGACTTTAAGTGGCTTGTAGAATTGTTGGGAAAACTGAAGAAACAGACTTTAGGTTGAATTTTCAGGAATGACTTTTAAAAGCTACATTGCAGCTGAGCCACCAAGAAAGTTCCTACCTCTTTTAGGATTGGAAAGGGTCCTGCAGAATTGGGAAGCTGTAACTTTTATCTGCTTGTCTTTGAACCTCACTACCTCTGTTGTGATCTGGGATCTGCCACTATTAGGAAATAGCCATCAGCAAGCAGCCACCTTCATCAGTAAGCTTTGGTTACTGCTGCTGGCTCTAGAGCCAGTCTATGCCTGCCATAAGCTGTACTGCAGAATGGATGCCTTGTGTCCTTCTTCTTAATATCCATGAAACCTGTGACTGAATACCAGGACTTCTGCAAATGCTGCTGCAGAACACGGTCATCTCCATGACAGTGCTTGCTAGTAGAAGCAGCCTAAATTCAACACCCCTTCTCTTCTGTTCTCCAAATTTCTAGTGAGTCCATCTGATTGGAACTTAAATCATACCCATAGTCCTAGCTGCAAGAGAGACTGGAAAATATAATTTTAGTTTTTTGTCCTCTGCCGTACAAGAAGTCATACACTGAAGGAGGTTGGAGTGGGTGTTGAAAACTAATTCACCATATCTATTACAGGTGCAGAACCCAATTCTCCTTATAGGTAGCTGTAATTAAATGAGCTGTAGATAAGTTGAGAAAGATTACAAGTAATTCTGTCAAACAATGTTGAAAAACTGTTATTTATTTTTTAGTCTATTTTTGTTTTATAATGACACATCGAAAAAATACTTAAAATTGGTTCTCCACTTCTATGATAAATTAAGTGGTGCGAAAAGTTTCCTCACATTTAAGATGTGGTTAGTGGATGAAAAGCCTGAAAGAGGGAGTACAATCAAAACTATTAGAATGGGTGACCTAAACTGAGAAAGGTCAGTGTTGTCAGTACTGAAGAGTGTCCAAATAAGGTGAGAACTGACAAGTAAATCATTTAATTTGGTACCATTTAGTATTAGTGTTCTTGAAGGTTCTAGACAAGGAGTAGGATCTGAAGCCAAAATGCAGGTTTAGTTGTAGTAGTAGAGGTAAGACAGGCACACTGGTTTCATGATTCTTAGGGTAATGCTCTTTCCCTTGTACCAGCGGCCTTGAGTTCATAATTTAGTACACTGGTATTGGTTTCTTTAATATTCATTCCTTCAACATGTATTTCTAAAGTTTCTGTTGTATGATAGTCACTATTGTAGAACCTAATGATCAACAAGTTCTTAAGCCTCAAGAGTGGGAGAACTAGAGAATAAATACTTAAGTAAAAATTAACAGAGATTTAAAGAGTTATGAATGCCACCAAAGAAACAAAACAGAAAAATAGAATATGGTACCAGGATTATCTACTTTTGATAGAATAGTCAGGAAAGGTTTCTCTGAGGAAGTGACATTCGAGCTGAGACCTGAGTGATAAGAAAGCTCCAGCCATGTGAAGATCTAGAGGTAGAACATTCCAGACAGTGGCCCTAGGCTTGGACAGTCTTGGCCTGGTTGATAAATGGAAGAAAGTGAAATCTGGGGAGAGTGGGAGTAGAAGAGGTCAGAGAGGACAGTTTAGTAGAGCTGTGTAGACCATGGCATAGAAATGGGATTTGATTCTAAGTGAAATAGTGGGGTATTGGAGCAAGGGAGTGACTGACCTGAGTAATATGTTTAAAAGATCACACTGCTTGGTGGAGAATGGATATTAGGAGGGGCAAAAGTGGGAGCAGGAACATAAGTTAAGAAACTCATGTGTGTCCAGACAAGAGTTTATGGTAGCTTGGACTTGGGTTTTACCAGTGAAGGCAAGGAAAGGTGGTTAGATTTGTGATTTATTTTGGAGGTCTGCTAGATTGCTGATGGACTGGATATGGAGGTAGGAGGGATAATGAGAGGGTGGTGAGAATAAGAGGGAAAGATGGCGGTAGGCTGGGAGAAGAGCATGTTTTAGGGAGGAAATCAGATGGTTTGTCTGAGACTTGTTCAATTTGAGATGTCCACTGGTTATCCAAGGAGGCAGTTGAATATTCACATCTAGTGTTAAGGAGGAGATGTCAAACCTATAGATGTAGATCTGGGAGGCATCAACATTAACCCTTGTACTGCAGGAATTTGCATAGAGAAAGAAGAGAAGGTGGTCCAGAACTGAGCACCAAAGCATTTAGAAGTTAGAAGAAGGAGAAGTCAGCAGAGGGCCAGTGATGTAGGAAGAAATCCAGAAATAATTGTGTTTTGGAAGCCAAGAGAAAAGAGCATTTTAAAGAGTGATCCTAATGTTCACTTGTGTTAACTGGTGCTGCAAGGTAGAGTATGATGGGAACAGAGAAATAACCATTGGACTTGGCAATTTGGAAGGCATTAGTGACCTCGGTTAAAGCAGTTTCAGTGTCATGGTGGGGTCAGAAGCTGATTGGAGAGGATCAAAGAATGAATGGAAAGTGAAAAGGTGGAGACAATGACTAGAGATGGTGCTTTTGAGAAGTTTTGAGAAGGGAGTCTAGAAATGGAGTGATATTAAGAGGGAGAAGGGCGGAGTCAAGGGAGATTTTTGTTTGCTTTTTTAAAATTGGGAAATTACCATACTTGTTTATATGCTGATGGGAACAATCTACCAGAGAGGGAAATTAATGCTGATTTGGGAAAGAGGGGTTAATTGAGGAGGAAAGACCTTAAGGTGGTGCTGGTAGGTTGGGATGGAGAGCACAAGAGGTGGATTTCCCTTTCATAGGAGCCAGGGATGCAATGATACAATATAACCACACATGTCCCTTTATATATACAGCTCCTCCCTTTGGTCTTACCAGTTTCCTTTAGACCAAGTTGATCTTTCTCTAATCACTAGTTTTTTTTTCCTGTGCTGCATGTGGTATGTTCTTTCAGATTGAATTCATCCTGCATAAGGCTTAGCGTGAAGCAGCTGGTGATATTTAACATGAATTTTTGTGCCAACAGGTGAAGCAAAAAATTTATTGCCATATCTTGGACCCAACAAAATGAGAGATTGTTTCTGTACCATAAACTTGGACCAGGAAGAAGTTTATCGTACCCAAGTTGTTGAAAAATCTTTAAGGTTGGTAGAAAAATTGGTAAATTATCATTCATATGATATATATTGATTGGTAAATTTTATGCATTTTCTAGATAGTAATCATCAAGAAGTCTTTCTTCATCTGAAACTTTTACTTTTATTTTACATATGAATTTATCTTTAAAATTGCAGAATCTCAGAGGTGAAAGAGCCTTAATGTTCATTGAGCTGGACTAACCACCTTGTGGCTTGGTTCCTTCTGATAATAGCTTTGATAAGTGGTCATCTTGTATTTGCTTAATAATGTTCCAGTGATGAAGGAGTTTACTGCCTCCTAAGCAGCTTATTTGTTCTGTGAATTATTCTCCCTCTTAGGAATCACTTATATTTAGTTGATTAATGTTTATTAAAATGAGAACCTACTTTATGCCAGTAACTTGCTAGGTTGTATTTATTCATACATCTGTGGGAACAAGATAGACACAGTGCTTACTTTTATGTGGCTTTTCATTGCTCACAATGTATCTTCATCTTAATTGTTCCTAATTCTGTCACTTGCATTTCTGGAGAAAATTTTAATCCATCTTTCACATGACATCTTAAGTTTTTGAAAACAACTATTGAGTACCTCAGTCCGTTCTTTAGGCTAAATTTTGCCCATTTGCTTGAACTTTCCTCAAAGTACATCATTATTTTATTTCTCTAAAGAATAAATTACTTCTTAAGGTTCATACAAGTCACTTAACTTAGTAGTGCATTGCCAGGAAATGAACCCTTAGGTAGATTTCTCATCTTTGAAAGTGTAATTGCACTTTGAGAGTATCATAGTAATTTCTAATTCATAAAATTAGAATGTGCCATCTCTGCCCTGTAGCAGTGTTTGTGGATTTAATTCTGGTGCAGAGCTGTGGTGGAAGGATGTGGTCTTCTTCAAAGACAAGAGGCAAAGCAAGTATATGGGAGTTATTGGAAAGATCCTGTGGTGGATGAAATATTGAGTGCCATGACTTGCATGAATTTTGTTTCAGATCACTTGTATTTCAGGGATCTGGTTTATGGTGCCTTTTTTAGACATCTTTTTTTCTTTATACTTGCCTTTTTTTCTCTGAAGTTTCCCTTTATGTTTTTATTTTCAGTTTTTATAATTTTAAATGCCTATTGAGTTCTTCATAGGAAAGGTATTATAAAAAGTGAAAATACTTTAGTAGCCCAAAAAGATATGAAGTAATGTACTTCAAGTCATAAGTCAACTGTCCCTGTTATATTAGAGTTTTGGTGTTCTTTATATTTGCAAACATAAATTTATAAATATATAATATTTTACTTATATTTATAAATGATGAAACTGATTCACTGAAAAGCTGAATAATTTGTCACATAATAAAAGAAGTTAGGAACAAAACTGAGATCGGGGACCTGAAACTGTTTAAATCACAATTTGTTATTTAGTGTACACTGATTCTGTATCACACAATCAGTGTTATATAAAATTAACTTGTAACTGTCCATAAATTGGTTACTTGTGATAGTTTGTAATATGTAGCCTCAAAAATGAGTGACTGACATTAGCTTATTTTTTTTTTTAACCTTTGCCTCTCCACATATTTATGTTGGGGAAAACGATAAAACCAGTTTTCTTTATCCATCTTAAATTATTTTTCTAGGTGCATAGCAACTCAAAAGGTATTTTAAAGCTAGCAGTGATTTCCTTACGTAATTTCAATATAGTTAGATTAGATGCTTCTTGGATTCTGGGTACCCCTTAGCATTTTTCCGTTTGTTAGAGGGTGAAGGAATCTGTAGTAAAAATCCTTGCTCACCTTGTTTTCATTTCATTGTTCTCTACTCATGTGGATATTGGGATAAGCTATTAAGCCGAAAGTCAGTAGATAGCATTTAGATCTTTTATAGGTTTTGGATATTATAGTTTTTATATGTAGTCTGGATATAGAGTTTTCATAACAGCTAAGTAGGAGTCACATATGGAAGCTATAGCTCCTAAACCTCTCCCTCAAATCCTTTTAGGAAATAGGTGGTATATAAACAAACTGAGTAACAGTAGCATTACTTGTACTTGGTGCTTCTCTTTCCCACATCAGGAATTTCCTCAGAAGTCATGCATGATCATAGGTCGATTATATTAGCATAGTGTTGTTTTTGTTTTTGAAATTATATAAATCTAGTCATGCCTCCTTACCAACCTGGTTGAAAAGTTTTCTTCAAATGAATTGACTCATTAATTTATTTATAAAATAAAAATGTGGGCACCCAGATGTGGAGATTAGATTGTTGAGATCGTGATGATATAGTGATACATATAACTTAATAATTTTCATGTCATTCTTATTTGGCTTTAGAATGTGCTTTAAAAATAATGTTTGAATGTTGATGTGTCATATGTAAAGGAAACTCTCCATTTTATAATTGTTTATAAAATGATACAAAGGAGAGAAATACCTACACGTCATGTCTTTGCCTAAGAGTTGTTTTTACATTGATTTCCATGTTGAGACTAATTAGAAGACTTTAGTTACTTTACAGATAAACTTTAAAAAGTTCATTTTGGATACATTTGAAGTGAAAAATATAGTGACAAAACTTGGCCAGGCATTGTAACAACTGAAAAGCTGAGTCAACTATTTTCTGGACAAGGTCATAAATGACTTTTGTAGGAATATTTTACTTTGCATTTCAGCTTCTCTTTTAGCTATGACCATCCTAAAGATATTGCATTTATTGGTGATATTTTTAAAGAATGGTTTTGTTCTTTAAACATTCTCAGGAAAGAGATACTCTTGACAAAAGATATTCACTAGCATTTCAGAGATTCATGTCTTCATAGAAGAATTTAAATATATCAAAATAGCTTTCTTAAAGTGAACTTACAAACATCAGCTTTTCCTAGGAGGAGATCTTCACAACTTGTTGATAGGCAAAAATTTCTTACTCAGTATGCAAAAAGCCCTTATCATAAAAGAAGAAAATAGAAAAATTATATTTCATCAACATTAGAGGTTCCTGTTCTTCAAAAGACACCATCAAGAAAATTAAATGGCAAGCTGTACCTGTGAGAAAATATTCTGACAAAGGACTTGTATCCAAAATTTATTTAAAAACAAAACAAAAGAACCCTAATAACTCAATAAGATGACAGCCAGCCATTTAAAATATAAGAAGACTAAATAGATATTTCACAAAAGGCCACGAAGCACGTGAAAAGGTGTTCAACATCATTAGTAATCAGGGAAATGCAGTTTAAAACTATTTCTGTCACTGTAGATTCTAGAACATAATCTGTAATGATAGAGTTCAGATCATTGGTTTTCTGTGACAGTATGCTGGGGATGATTGCAGAGAGGCACAAGGAACATTCCGGGGAGGTAGAAATGAAGAGTGTAGAGATTACATGGGTGTATAAACTTATGTCACATTCACTAGAATAATTAAAAATACTGTCAGTACCAAGTTGCGGAGCAACTGGAACTCTCATACGTTGCTGGCAGGAGTGTAAATGGTACAGCCACTTTGGAAAACAGTTTGACAGTTTCTTATAAATTAAACATTTACCTGCCCTTTAATTCATCAGTTATACTCTCAGTTAATTACCCAAAAGAATTGAAAACATATGTCCACAAAAAGCCTTGTATAAAAATGCTCATAGCAGCTTTATTTTTAATAGCCCAAACTGGAAACAACTCAAATGATATCATTAGGAGAATGGCTTGTGGAATACAGTGGAATACTACGCAGCACAAACGAACTACTGTATACACAACAACATGGAAAAAACCTCACAGACATTTAACTGAGTGAAAGAAGCTGGGCATGACAGAACATACTATATGGTTCCATTTATACACAGTTCTAGAATAGCTCTGTAGTGACAGAAATCAGATCACTGGTTGCCTGTGGGCAGGTATGATGGAGTAACTGCAGAGGGCCATCAGGGGACTTCCTGGGGAGATAGCAATGTTCTATATTTTGATTGGGGTGGAGCCTACACAGGTTAATAAATTTATCAAAAATCATCAACCTCTATACTTTAAATTGGATTTTATTGTATGCAATATGTACCTCAGTAAAGTTGATTTTAAAATAGCCTGTTTTAATTTTTTAAATATATTTTTAAATAGTTTATGTAACATTTAAGCATTTTAGGTGTTATATATTATTGTGATTACTATAGCTTTACATATTCTAAGACAATGTTGGTGTGAATGACACTATCCTCAGCTCTCACTTAGGTCCATGCTAGGTGAGTGTGACCCCAGGCAGTTGCTGTATCTACTGTGTCTTCTACCAGACTGCTGAAAAGCTATTTGTTCAGAGCTCATCCTGGCAACTGAGGTCCTCTCACAATTTAGCTTAGTTTGTATAGGATTTATTGAAACTTATCACTGAAAATTATTGTAAAGCTTTTGAAGTTCTTTTCTGCAGTGGTTTAGTCAATAATTTCATTGATTTTATTGAAAGTGATGTTATTCAAAAGTGATATTATTCAAGTATTAATAGTATTATTACTAATAGTGATGTCATTATTTAATTATTTGATATTATTTGAAGTAATGAGCTTTCCTCCCTTTTCTCTCTAGCCCATTTTTCAGTGAAGAATTTTACTTTGAGATTCCAAGAACTTTTCAGTATTTGTCTTTCTATGTTTATGATAAGAATGTTTTACAAAGAGACCTTCGAATAGGTATGTAATGCTCATGATTATCCTTAATCACAACATTGGTGCCTACATTCATTCTTTCTCTGAGTATGAAGTGTTGAAAACTGCAGAATAATATATGCTGGACATTTCTAAGCCTTTCCTCTAGACTACATGCTTGTTGTGAATTTGATTGTTAATTTGTGCGCTCATCTTAGATGATACGTCTTCAGGGAGGCTTTTGCTGATCCCCTAGTCACTGTGTCATCTCTTTCCATACTACCTGATGGTTCTCTTTCCGTAGTACTCATTATGTCTGTTCATTAGTTGTTTAATATCTAGACTCTCTAGTTAAATGTGATATTTATAAGAGGAGGGTCTGTGTCTCACAGACATATGCCTTACATTTACTAAATGTTAGGTAAGAATTTGTTGAATGCCTCAAATAATGTTTTTGTACAAAGATCACAGCATTGATCCCTCCAAAGAACATCTGTTCTTGAGGTTTTTCTGATAGGACTACTAATTCACTTTAATCTAGTTTTACGTTTTCTCCCTGGCTGTATTGGTAACCAATAAATACATTTCTTAAAGAATTGAGGCTGTGGTGTGATCTGTGGGCTAGCACAAAGCTAACTGGGTGCATATGTGTCACATTCATAGTTTTTGCACTACTATCTTTGTATTTTAATAACACGTAGAGGTTTAATTTACATGTATTATCCTTTCTTTTTTAGTGTCCTGAATATCATCATCTCATCTCTCCTTTCTGATTTGAAAAATGCTCAAGTCTCCTACAGCTCAAAAAATTAAACTTTATCAGACTTTGTCTTTTAACTAACTTCTAATGTTTCTCCACTGTTGCTATTGAATGCCTTAACAAATGGTCTATGTCCATCTTCTGTTTACTACTTACTTCTTTTTAAATCTTAAATCTGGCTTCAACATTTTTCAGACAAACCTTCTTTAAATTTTGCCAAAATCATTTTAAAGCAAATCAAATAATCTTTTAAAACAATATATTTTTCTCATTATAAAACTGTTACATGTTCTTAGTGACCAATAGTGACTCTGCACAGATATAACTACAGTTAATAATTTGGTATATTTCTTCCCACTCTTTGTACTGTGCATTTATATTTTTACATTGTACTATTTATTCAGTTTTTTTCTTTTTCACTTAATGTTATCTAATTATCCTTTCCCTGTGTCACTAATATTTTTCAAAAATATTATATAATATCCTATATATAAAACTATACTATTTTAATCACTCCCTTGTTGGTGTGATTTACATTTACATTTCCCATTTTTTAGTATTCCAAATGGTGTTGCTATGAATGAACATCCTTGTGCATAAATTTTTGGGTATCTCTTTTTTTCTTAGGATAAATTCCTAGAAGTGAATATACTGGGTCAAAGGGTATAAATATTTTACAGATTTCTTCTATATATCTCTACATTGGCCTCCAGAAGTACTGTACTAATTTACATTTCCCCAAGAATGGCATGAACGTAACCATTACAACACACCCTAGCCATTCTGGGATATTATCGTTGAAAAAAAATTTCCAATAGGATAGGTGAAATTAAATATTTTATTATTTTAATTTGTGTTTTTTTCACTTTCAGGGAATTTGAGGAATTTTTCATACCTTTATTGGTCTTTTACATTTTTCTTCTATGAGTTGTTTATTCTTTTGCCCATTTTTCTTTTGGTTGGAGTGTTATCTTTAATTATTCTTAAGTATTCTGTATGTTAACTTTTGTCAGCTGTATATGTACCAAATACTTATTCTCTCTCCCAAAAGGCATTTTCTTAGTTTTTAATCCCCATCTGCCTCTGTGTCACATTTGACTCTCTTGATCACTTATGCAACTTAATGAAAGCCAAGGAAAAGGCATTTTAATGGTGTTGTATTTTCTTAGATGTCTTTCCTCTGATTACTTTTTTACTTACATGCAGGCTCCTCTTTTTCTAGCAAACCCTTAATCATGGATCACCCTGAGGCTCCATCTTCAATTCAATTAAACAAACATTACCAAGCACTTCTGTGTGACATACAAAGGATGAGACTTTTAAGATGAGTAAGACTCAAGTTGCTGCCATGCTATGAGAGGGGCAAACTTGTACTCCAATACTAGTATAACAGGGTTTGTGCTGGAGGTATGAACAAAGTATGTGGGACATATAGAATGGAGAACAGCTAATTTTGTTTGGTGGGGGGATTAGCAGAGACCACCTAGGCAGGAAAAAGAACAACAGTTTCAAAGTGATATAGGAATTGGCAGAGGGGGAAAAAGTGAATCTTATATTTGTGGTGTATCTCCTGGAGTGTAAAAATTGCTTCGGTGGAAGGTGATAGAAAATGAAACTGGGAGTATAACTTGGGGCTAAGCTGTAATGGACTCAAAATCATTTCAAATTCTAAAAGCTAAGGAATTTGAACTTTATCCCATAGACAGTGGTTTTGAACCTTTTAAAAATATGTGTAAGTGTATATAACTATACATGTACTCATACGTATAAATATGTATTATACTTTAAATATGTAATCTGTGTATATCGAGTAATTTGGAAGTTGTGATTTACTGTTGTAGACAATAGGAGTTGTTGATTTAGAGGCTGGTAGACCAACAAGGAGGCTATTATCAAATATGATGAATAGAGTTGTGGAGGTGGAAGTGCAGATGAGGGAATATACTTCAGGGGTTTCAAATGGGATTTAGGGACCAAGGGGGTAAAGAGGACATGAGAACGGCAAGAGTTAAAAATGGTCTTGCTGTTTCTATGGCTGTCCTAACTGAAATAAGGAACACAGCTGAAACATTCAGTTTTGAATGAGGGTTGAGACGGGGAGAGCATGACTTTGGTTTCAAACAAGTTAAACTTGTATCATCTGGGGAACATCTTGGTGGACATGTTGGTTGACAGTTGGAAATGTAGATCTGAAATTTAGAAAAAGAAGAGCTGAGATGTAGATTTGAGAGTCATTAGCATTAAGTGATACTTGAAGCCTGTGTTGGAATGAATGAAATTACCTGAGAACAGATGGGGGTGGTGGGGGAGGCGGTCAGAGAGGCTTCAGTGAAGATTGATAAGCCATATCAGGAAGAAAGGAAGAGAGGAGAGATTAATATCACAGAAGGCAAGGAGATCTTTTAATGTCAACAACTAGAGAGAGGTAAGAATAGGATAAGGACTGAATAGTGGTTGGTAGTTTTTAGGAACCCTTGAGAGTGCATAACATTGACTACTATGATATTGTGTTAAGAAATGTTTAGTAATTTTCATTGTCCCTTTACACATAATATTATAGTCTTCATAAAGCATCTCTTGAAAAGGCTTTTGGTTGAGGTTTGTAATTATGATGTACAAAAGTTGCCTTTGTTTTCTGTTTGTTTTTAAAATAAAAATAAGTTTTAAGTAAAATAATTTTCAGTAAAAATCAGTTTGTTACAGAGTGGTATCAGAAAGCCGTAACTGTTGGTGTGAGGAATTTTTTCTTAAATAAGTTTATTCTTATCAAGGGATAAAATTTATACATTTAGTGGGAAAACTTTTTTCCTTTTATATGTAGAAACTATTATTAAAGTAAAAGCAGTAAAGTACTCTTTAAGGTTGTAAATGGTCATGAGGTTTTTATTTACTCATAAGTTTTTAACATTTTTGTAGTTTAACATTTCTTTTGTCATTAACTCATAAAGTTGTTTTTGTTTTTTTAAATCTCGAGCTATTGGAAATTGGGTTTTCTCAGTTATTTTATAACTCTGAGTTGCCCCATTGTAGATTAAACAGTGACATAGCATTTTCTGGAAATGAAATTTGACCTAGAGTTGAGGGAACCCTCTTTTAAACTTAAGATCTGAGAATGTGTAGTAGTCTAGTCTGGCTCTAAGAGCTTGTTTTTATTTTTAATTATATAAATAGTGTATGGTTATTTTACCTTTTGTAAAGAAATTTTAAATTATGGCATTATAGATAATGCTAAATCACTCTTGACTATTCTCCCCAACCATTCCCCTTTCCAGAGGTAATAATTGTTATCAATATGGGGCATAATTCTTCATATTAGGCATCTTTATATGCTGGGAACAATTAATGCAAAAACTGGATTATGCATTAATTAAAAATCCATAAGAAATTGAAAAGTTAAGGTGTTTTTTACTGCGATATATTTTCCTTAAGTATAGTGTCATCTTTTCTTAAAAAGAAAGAAAAGAGATGAGAAAAACTTTAAGAATATATTTTCATTTCCAGTGAGGATTCTAATAATATTGAAATTAAAACATAAGTATTTTACATCCATGTATTTTCTAGTTATTTTCTTTTTCAAAGGAATCTAGAATTCAAACAAGTAAACTATGGCTATCTTAGCAGACTTTGGCAGTTTTTTTTTTTTTTTTTCTTTCCCATTGGTTCAGATATATATACAGAAAAGAGGATTTCACTAGGATATTGGAGACCTGAATTCCAGTCATCACTCTATCACTATCTCTGTGACATTTAACAAGTAACTTTTCTTTCTTAGGCCTCATTTATCTATAAGATAAGGCTGGGTTTAACATAGCTAAGGTTCTTTCCAACTCTGAATTGTAATTTCTGCTGGCATTTAGTTCTTAAGTCAGATGTACTTGTTAGAAATTGGTTATGGGGCCGGCCCGGTGGCGCACTGGATAAGTGCGCCGCTTGGGAAGCGCGGCGGCGCTCCCGCCCGAGAGTTCAGATCCCACATACAGACCGGTTCCCGCTCACTGGCTGAGCGAGGTGCAGGAGCAACACCGAGGCTTGCGATCCCGTTGCCGGTCCCCGGTCCGGTTCGGGGGCAACACTGAGGGTTGCGATCCGTTGCCGGACACGGAAAAAGACAAAAGACAAAAAAAAAAAAAAAAGAAAAAGAAATTGGTTATGACTACACTTTGGTGTCTTTTCACATAGAGACTATATCAGGTATCTATAGCTACATAACAAAGCACCCCAATATTTAGCATAGCATTATCAGTTTGGGCTGAGCTCAACTGGGTGATGGTTCTGCTGGTTTCACCTGGGGTCACTAATGTGCAGTTATCTGGGAAATTGGGGCTGGATGGTCTGACTCATATGTCTGATAGTTGGTTCTGTCTGTTAGCTGGACCTTCCTCTCCATGTGGTCTCAGGGTTCCAAGAGGTCAAGCCCTACTGCACAGGTGCTTATTAAAAGCCTCTACTTGCATCACATTTGCTGATGTTTCATTGGCAAAAGCAAGTCACATCACTAAACCCAGAGTCAGTTCTGGAGGCAACAACACAAGGGCATAGATACGAGGAAGTGTGATTTACTAGAGGCCATTAATATATTAGTCTACCACAGATACTAAAATGCACTCACCTAAACCCCCAAACACAAGGCTTCTAAGTTCTGCCATTGGCTCTGTTGTTGACTGTCTCCCAGAATTTGTTCAGTCTTCTGGTCCTGTTTCATCTTGTGTAGACAATCACGCTTGTCACTACTTTTATCTTTCAGCCATTTCTATTAGTGCCCAAGTAGAAACAGAACTATCAGAATTTTGCCACTTGGTGATCTGTATCAGGTTGAAATTTCTAAGAATATATTATATCTATAAATGGGGCCCAAGGACAACACAGTACAGTGTTTGATGGCAAGGCAATACTGCTTAAAAGTGGTATTGGAAAGCTAAGAATACTTTTTTTTACTTAAGAGACCAACAAAAGTGATTTCTGTGCCCGCAGTTCCTTTATTTCTTTTTATGTTTCCTCTCGTCTGATTTTAAGGGACTAATACTGCATCTGGTGTGTGTATGTTTGATTTTAAGCTCTGTCTATGAGTTTGTCAGGACAGTGGGGAAAAGAAATAGTACCATTAAATGATTTATTGGGAAGTTTGTTTCTGGGTAATTATTTTGATGTTGGTGATTTCATGGTGAAATAATGAGTTAACTTTGTTTAAAATAGTAAACACTAATGTAAAACAATCTGTGGGACCATTAGAGGCACAGAATGGGTTTTTAAGATCATTAGAGCTAAAAGTTATTTCTGATGCATAGGAGGCAAATCAGATGTAGTGAATTCAAATAATTTCCTCAAAATTACACAGCTAATAAATAATAGAATTGACTCTAGGCTGTGGAATTAGTATCTGTGTTGGAAGGAACATGAACAGACATACCTTGGTTTGAATATCTGACTTCAGTGCTTGATAGTGGGCAGGATTTTTAAATAGCTTTCCTCATCTGTAAGATGGTGATTATGCTCTCTACCTCCAAGATTGTTAGGAAGATTAAATAAGAATTTTAAGAAAATATGTAAGAATGTCTTCTATCTGGTAAATATTCAGTAAGTGCTGTAACAGGCTGCCTACCTTTTATACTTAATGCCTGCCATTTTAACTAGTGATAGCTCAAACAGCAAATAAGAATCATGAGGCATTTTTTTCTGTGATGCTTTTTTTTTTGTCTTCATTTATATTTCAGTTCATTCTTCCCTTCCCTGTCCCTAACTTCTCCCTCCCCATTTAACCCACTTCCTTCCCATTCACCCTCTCACTGTTTTTTGTCTTTTATTCTCTCTCTCTCTTCCCCCCACCCCTGCCCTGTGTTATTCCCTATGGCTGATGACATATATATATTTTTAGTATGTTATATTGCCTAATAAATTGCTGGACATGTTGTACGTATCCTACTACATAATGACTTCAGATGTTTTTATTTGTTATTTTTTATTAACAGTTTTTCTGGCTTCTTGAGATCATGTGCTCTTTCTTCTCTGCTTCTTCAGGCCAGCTAGCCTCATGCAACTAAATCTTTACATATCAGAAACTGATATCTTAAAAAGGAACATAAGAATAAGAGCTGGCAATAAAATCGCAAGTTCTTCTCAACTTACAAATGGCTTATTTATGCCCCTAGTCAGAGAAGGGTTTCCATCTCATAGGACAAGAACCATTCAACTCTTTAGTGACAATGAGTATCATGATCACAAAATATGGAGGACTAGGAGGAAGAGGAGCCTTGCTTCCGGAACTTTTTTTTTTTTTTTTTTAAACCTGTGAGGCTAAGAGAGGATTCCCTTGGGGGAAGGCACCTATGATAGAGAAGATGTATTTCCAGTGATATGAGTTGAGTGATAAATAGGACGGGTAGACTTCTACTCTAGTTTTTAGAAGCATTATTGGAGGAACCTGGAAATTATATCACAATTAAAGCGTGCCATTATGTTTAGACTTTTTCTGGGGAGAGCACAGAAAAGACACATAGCTACAAAAATTCTTAAAGAGGGGGGGTGGTTCCCAAAAGGTTAGAATTTCCCCTATAGGATGTTCTATATGTACATACATTATTTATTTTTTAAGTATCAAGTTGTTATGCATTGCCTTAGTATTTTATTTATATCTGATGTGGAATCAATGGTAATTGGAAATATTTGATAGAATTTTGACAGTTACAATCATTTGTACCACACAATATTGACTACTTTGTCATAATTTTGTGTTCCAAACCATTCCTGAGATTATATTGATTTGCCAGGAATTTGATATAATTTATTGGTAAAACATATTCTTTGTATGATTTGTCTCTTAACCTAAACTCCTTCAGCAGTATAAGGATATTTGGTGTTCTAGTCAGTGCCTGAATTCTGTTCTTGGCTTTTAATCTGTATATTCAGTACTAAAAGAATTTCTGTTTCCCCATCCTTTTTATTATAAATTTGACCAAAAGGAACTAAAATAATATAATTGATTTGAATCAATTATAAATGCTAATATATTCACATGAAGATTTTGATTTTCACATTAGATTTTATCCAAAATATTGAAAAGAAAGTTGAGAAAATTCATACCTGTTGTTAAGGGTCAATTTATTAATTTTTAAATATTACATGTTTTAAACTTCATGTATTAAATACAGTTAATGAATTTTCAATGTGTCATTTTAATTATATTAGTACAGTTGCCACTCTATAATAAAAATATAGCTATGTGTTTTAATATTTTCTTTAAAATTACACATATGTAGGTGATCTTTATAAGTTTGAATTCCAGGTCATAAATGGGAAAGTAAGCTTATTAAAAACTGTAATATGGTTAAATTTTTTAAATAACAGCTTTATTAAGATGTAATTCACATACCAAAATTCATTCTATTAAAGTGTACATCATGTTTACAACTTTTTCTTCAGTGGTTCCGAAAAAGAATCATATACATTAGAGAGAGAGAGAGAGAGAGACATGTAAAATGTTAACAATTAGGGAATCTGGGTAGAGAATTTGGAAGTTTTGTGTACTGTTCATGCAACTTTTCTCTAGGTTCAAAATGATTTCAAATAAAATATTTTTTAAATGGAAAAAAAGTGTATGATGAAGTGATTTTTAGTATATTCACAGAATTGTGTGACCATCACCACTGTCTAATTCCAGAATAAAAATTTAGGCCTAGTTTTTTTGTGTTTGTTTTCCTATCATTCCTTTCCTTTTCACTTGATACACAAGAGCATATCTTGACAGAAAAATTTCTTTACAGTTTTCTTAAAGTTTTCACATGTTGAACTAAAACACCATCGTGAAAAGATATAAAGTATAATTAGGGCACTTAAAATGAAAACTCTTATTTGACGAAAAGAAAGTGAACAACTTGTAACTTTACTGTATGTCCTTTGAGCTTTTGTGTAGAATCTTGGAATAAATTGTCACTCATATCAAAACTCTGTCTGCTTCTTAAAACATGAATTGAGGAAGGAAATGCTTTGTACCAACATGGCAAATACTTCATTATAATAACATCTCTTTCTCTTCCTCTCATGCTACTTTGTTCATTGTACTGTATCTTTCTCTGAAAGGTAGATACTCTTTAGGGATTTGCCTGAATTTTTGTTTGCAAGGAACCAACATAATCAGTGTTGGCAATGTTTTGATTAAAGCAAATTTTTAATAATAAAATTGTTCTAATCTTCCATAATTTTCAAGTCAGTTTTCACGTTTATTAATGATGTATGATACTGTTTTTCCTTGTCTCTTAATTGGAACTTATACACTCTTTCTAAATGCATGTAGCTGCTCAAAATTTACCAAAACATATGGTTATTCATACTGTTAAAGAATTGGGAAGATTAGTTTGCACTACCATTGTACATTGCTTTTTACACTGACTGTATTCTCGGTTAAGACATGAGATCTGAATAAGTACTAAAAAATGCAGCTGCATGTAAATACAACTGAGTTTTTGTCTAATACCCTGATTCAAAATGACCCAGAGAAGGGTCTGCCAAGGGGCAAGGGGAAATGAGACATTTTTTCAATCTTTAGAATATAGAAAAATGCCTTGTAAAAATGGATTTTTTGTCAGTAGGTACAAATTATTTAAAAATATTTTCTACAAAGTATATCAGTGCCAGTGAGACTTAGAATCATACAAAATATGTTTTCTCATATTGTTTTACTTATTTTCTGTAGGAAAAGTAGCCATCAAAAAAGAAGACTTGTGTAACCACAGTGGCAAAGAAACTTGGTATTCATTACAGCCTGTTGACTCCAATTCAGAGGTTCAGGTAAATATTAATGCTTATGTAATGCAAGAGATTGTCACACAAAAAAAATGAGTAAAAATGAACTAATTATACTAGTTCATGTAGGTAGAACTTATTATACCTTATTTTAAATTCTGGTACCAAATATTATAGACCTTTGGGTAATACAGAACTGGAAGGAAATAGCTTTGTCATGTGAATTTAAGAATAATGTGTGTGCATATGCATGTGTGTGAGTTTGGATAGAATATATTAGGAAGAACATTTTTTTTCCTGCCTTAGTTCTTCTGTTTCAGTCACAGTAACAAATTGTTAATATTTTTTAGAAAGGAAAATGTTTTAACAGAAAATATATGTTTTATTAACTCTGAGAAGAATCCCTGTAAGTCTGTGATTTCATCTGTTCTGATCAGGATGCTCCGTTTACTCTCTAATAAGCTAAACTTGGGAAAATGTTATTCGTTCAAACCATGCCTGAATCCATCATACAGAGGCTTCATTCCCACATTCACCCTTCATGTTGTTCACCTGTCTTTTTATTTGAAAGGGTATTATTATTATTTTTAATCTCCTCTTTCCTCTTGCCAAAATAAGAGGCCTTTTGCAGATTCTATGTGAGTAAAGATGTGATATTTAGCCACATAGCTGAAGTTTCTGTTTGTTTTGAGAAAGCCTGAGTTGCTCTTAGAAATCATTATTTCTATCTAAAGGGAATTTTTTTGTAACCCTATTTATTTATAAAATATGGAAAGGATTGTGAAACCATTTCCCGAGGGCATAACTGCAAGCAGGATTCTTCCTCTCTAAAAGAAGTTATAATTTGCTACTGTGACTCAAACAGAAGTTTAAGACAAGAAAAAAATGCTGCACACACATCCACAGATAATTTGCAAATAAAGTTCCTGTGTCTCCTCTCAAGCGTTCTTTTTGGTTCTTAATTCTTAATTCTCAAAAATTATTTGTAAACCAAAACCCCTTCTTAAATACAAAATATAACTAATACTTTTTCTGTTTTATCCACTTTATCCCATTTTAATATTCTTTTCTTTCCATTTAATGATAACTATTATTCAGATCTCAGTTATACAGTATTGTAAATGATCCAGGTGAGAGGCATTGTGAGGAAGTGGAAAGGGTTTAAATTAGAAGTCAGAAAATTTAGGTCCTAGTTTTTGTGTGTGGTTGCTTTAATGTCCTTGAATTTCATTTCTATAAAATAGGAATAAAAGTTGCCATGTTTGACTCATACAGTTGTAAGAATTAAGTGAAATATCTTTAAGAGCATTTTAAAAGCTGCTAGTTGCTATGCAGGTATAAAATGTTATGTTTGCCATCAGTTGATCTGGTAGCTATTTCCTTATCACACCTTTACCAAAAGGCAGATATTTAAAGTACCAGTTTTTCTTTTTAATAGTTTTAACAAAAGGCAAGATAAGAAAAGGCTTTGAAAATTTGGTCTGAAATGAAATTTAAGGATTATTTTAAGATGTAGTTTATTAAGTGCATTCTTCTTATAACCAGTGTTAATTTGCTAAAGGATTTAAGGACTCCAGCTATCAAAAATCAGAAATCTATTTACAATACTTTTTGTATAATTCTTGGAGATTGTATTAGAGATTAATACTGGGACATTGGCTTTTAGTTGATGGTATATATAAAACTCATCTCTGAAACATAAAAATACTGGAAGCAGCATTTACCTATTAGATATAATATTGAAGTTTTAAAATTTGCTATGTTATTTTCATGACCATGAGTTATTAATCTTTATAGCTCTTTTGTCTTAAATGATATTTAATTAGTAAGGTTTACCCACTCTTTAAAATAAATTTTAGAAGGAAGTGTACTTTAACAGGGAGAGGGGTAACACTTTTCAAGTTAATATGGTATCATTGGGAGTATTGTTGTCTGACTCCAGAACTCATCTGGGAATACTGAATTAACTTTGTGAGTCTAGAAAAGATAGAAAGGCAGCACATGGTTCATACAGATCCTACTTTGTTAATAAATTTTTTCACCTGCATAAACTTTATAAAATTTTACAAAAATATTACGAGAAATAAGAGCTGTTGATGGGGCATTTGGAGAAAGCTGTGAGACAAATTGAATTCAGCAGAAACTCAATCTAATAATTACTGTTAATAATTATAACAGTATCTACCAAGCACAGTACTAAGTACTTAATGTACGTTATCTAATTTAATCTTCAGAATAGCATTATGAGGTAGGTAGTAGTATTATCTCCATTTTAGAAATAAGGCAAATGGGACTCACAGAGGTTAAATGACTTTTACAAAGTCACAGAACTTCTAGGTGGAGCTGTGATTCCAACAGAGATTTGTCTGATTCTAAAACCCCTAATGACAGTGCTTTACTACCTTTCACTATTCTATATTGTTAGTCATAAAAAGCCTTCAGTAGATTAGGAGGTTCACTTCAGTAGCTCCTGTGTAGAAGGAACAGAAGCCTACACAAATTAGCTCAAAAAAAAGGTGAGGGGGCATTAGAAAGTTCTTAGAGAGCTTCTTGGAATGTAATTATAAGAACTTTACATGGTCAGTGTGAGCTAGAAAGTTGTCAGGTATTCAGAGAGGAGCTGCATCTTAAGTGGAGGTTAGGGACAATACAGTAGATAAAATTCATGTAGGTTAAAATTGTTTTTGAAAATATTTTAATTTCTCATCAAGTACACTAAAGTATAGAGTGGTTGGTTTTGGTTGACTGCCACATAAAATAATTGGCTTGTGTTTGGAGTTATGGTGAATGAAAAATATATACTTTATCTTTCAACTGCAGTGCAGCAGTAGATACTGCAAGAGGCATATGGGAACTGAGACTCACTGGTTCGTTTCTTCCTACTTATATGATCACCTGTGCTCAATGAGTATAATTGAGTACTCACTGTTTAGGGTTTTTTCTTTCCCTTTTATTTTGCAAAGTGAATAGTTTTTTGTTTTTTGGTTTTTTTTTAAAGATGACCGGTAAGGGGATCTTAACCCTTGACTTGATGTTGTCAGCACCATGCTCACCCAGTGAGCTAACTGGCCGTTCCTATATGGGATCCGAACCTGTGTCCTTGGTGTTATGAGCACCACACTCTCCCGAGTGAGCCATGGGCCGGCCCGCAAAGTGAATAGTTTTTTGTTTTTTGGTTTTTTTTTAAAGATGACCGGTAAGGGGATCTTAACCCTTGACTTGATGTTGTCAGCACCATGCTCACCCAGTGAGCTAACTGGCCGTTCCTATATGGGATCCGAACCTGTGTCCTTGGTGTTATGAGCACCACACTCTCCCGAGTGAGCCATGGGCCGGCCCGCAAAGTGAATAGTTAATGTATGTTTTCTCTCTGTCTTTCTCTTTCATTTTAATAACTACTGGCTTTCCAAATTAAAAGGAAAGAAAAAAACACCATTTAATGATGAGATTTCATTGTATTCTTTTTGTATGTCTGATGAGTCGTATGTCTCTTCTTTTGCTTCTCTCTGTAAATCTACTCCAGTCTCTTATTGACAGCTAAAAAATGCCATGGCAGTCTTTGAGTCTGTGTAACCAGACAGCCTCCTTGCCGTCTAAGATCTGACTTAGTTATCTGCCACAATTTAGAGAGAGAATTTGGCCAAACTTGAGTCAGATGTCCACTGCAATCTAATTTGATGTGATTGGAGGAAAAGTCACAGTAGGATAGTCCATTTTGGAGCTTTGGGTAGACATGTTCCCTAAAGGAAGAAATGATTGGCATCTCTCCCTCAGAGGGAAAGATGTTTGATTTCCTAGCTCTACCACTAATTGGCCTTTGAACCCACGTAGTTGCTAACCTGTTGTTGTCTGAGGATCTTTATCTATGAAGTAAGAACTTCAGTATAAGGGGTTTCCTTTGCTCTTGAAGTTCCAGGAAAGTAAAATGCAGAAACATAATTAAGCCCTCAAAAGAAAAAAATCTCAATAGTAGTAAATGTGTTTTATGCCAAAACAGTTGAAAAAATAAGTGCAATAAGCTCTTACCTGGAATTGTCTCCTTGATGCTTTATTATTGTTGTTAATAATAATTATTTTCAGTTTTCTTTTCAGAAGTTCAAAATATCATTAGTAATATTTTATGAGTGTGTTATTCTCCCTTTTAAAAATTTCATTTTATTTTTTGGCTTGATTCTACCTTTTGCAATTTTTCCCTCTGGGTTGAGCCATTCTCTTCTCAACCCACTCTAATCTGCCTTCAGACTTCACAGTGGGTCAGAGGAAGAACACAAATGACTCTCGTTACCAAGAACATTGTGTCACTAAGTCTACTAGACATTTTTCAGTTCTCCTCTTACTTGACTTTTTATCAGCTTTTGATACTGGTGACCATTCCTTCCATTTTGAAATATTTTCTGTCTTAGTTTCTGGTCCTGCTTACAGTTCTGGTTATCATCCAACTTCACTTGGTATTCTGTCTCCATATTCTTTGCCACATAGTTGAAGTCAATATGGATTGTGCTGGTGCCTTCTCCTGTAAATACTCTTTTGACTTCAGTGATCTGCAGCCATGCTATTAGCTATTAGGTCATGGAACTTGCAAGAAACTTTAAGTATTTTTTCCTTTATTTCTTAGGTACTGTGATAAAGAGCATGCTTTACATAAGACTGATTAAACCAAATCTGCTATATGGAGTAGTTGCTGCTCTCATTAATTAAGTGTGTCTCACACAACTTGTACAAGCAGTAAATCTAGATGTACTGTCAATCAGGTCCTCTTGATACAATTACTTAGTTAATAAGTCTTTACCAACAAGCTTATCTTGAATTTCTAGATTATGCCATAAGTTATTGATTGTTTTATAGTTTTTTAAAAATATGTCCTCTGCCTTACCTGTTTAAACAAGCATTTAAAAAGAAATGCAATAATTATGACTAATAACACATACACCTTTTTTTAACATTCCTGATTAAGACATAATGAGTGTAAAAACATATTTATTGTTGCAGATTGATTTTTTAAAAAACTTTATTTGTAAATTTGTATACACAACAAATGAATGAACCATTCTAGATCATATTAAATACTTCTTTAAGTAGAAAAACAAATCTCTCCATAAAGAATTGCCGTTACCAAAACAGGTATTAAATAAAACCTTTATTTTGTTTTTCTTCTGGCAGGGAGTTGTGTCCAAAACAATTAACAGAGGTAATTTCTATATATAAAAACATCTGTCAGAAATTTAGAAGTTGGGATTTTTTCCCCTACGTAAAAAATTTTTTTTTATCAATTGAAACATACTGAGGTTTTTGTGTGGAAATGGTTGTTAAAATGTACTGTTTTATGGTAAAAAAAAAAAAAAAAAGTTTAGACTTCAGAGGATTTTAAGTGTGTGCATTGTGTTTTGTCCAAATATCTTTATTCATCTGAGTTTTCCAAACATATGCAGAAATTTACATGGTATCTTTTATATGGTACCAAGAATATACATAATATAAAATTGAAATCATCACAGATATATCTGTGTAAAATTAATTGAAAAAGTTAGCCTGTAAAATAGTAAACCTTCAGACAGTTCCACAATAAAGTTAGTTCCCAGAAATGTTGCTTAGTACAAAGTAATATGGTATCATAACTCCATGTATCAACCTAATGTAATCAGTGCTATGAAATTCATGTAGAGTAAAGCCTTCCAAGAATTTGGTTTATTTTTAACTAAAAGTATACAATACAGTGCCAGATATCTGATCTTTCAACATTTTCTGACATATATGAAAAGTATATTGTCATTGGCCCTCCTTTAGGAGATTGAATAATAAGAAAGCAGTTGTGGACCAAATCACGTTGCATGTTTATCATTAAACATAGTACCTCGTCAGAATCTTATTGTTGCTTCTTTGTAGCTAATGTCTCTGTTTTCTGTGGTTACTTTTAGGATTTTTTCTTTATCTTCTGTTTTCAGCGATTTTGCCATGCTGTGCCTAGGTGTGGTTTACTTTATATTTATCTTACTTGTGTGTTCCTAGGACTTCTTGAATCTGTGGATTGATGTCTTTTATCACTTTTGGAAAATTCCAAGCAATTATTCTTCATCAACTTTTTTTCCTGTCCTGTTTTTTCTCTTCTCTGCCTGTATTCCAATGACATGAATAATAGACTACTTCACTATGTCTCATATTTCACATATGTCTCTTTCCCTCTCTGTGCATCATTGTGGATATTATCTTTAAAAAAGTTTTTAATTGGGGCGGCCCGGTGGCGCACTGGAGAGTGCGCCGCCTGGGAGCGCGGGGGCGCTCCCGCCGAGGGTTCGGATCCCATGTGGAGACCGGTTCCCGCTCACTGGTTGAGTGTGGTGCGGGCGCAACACCGAGGGTTGCGATCCCGTCGCTGGTCCCTGGTGCGGGCGCGACACCGAGAGTTGCGATCCCGTTACCGGTCAGTAAAAAAGACAAAAAGGAAAAAAAAAAAGTTTTTAATTGGGGCGGCCCGGTGGCGCACTGGAGAGTGCGCCGCCTGGGAGCGCGGGGGCGCTCCCGCCGAGGGTTCGGATCCCATGTGGAGACCGGTTCCCGCTCACTGGTTGAGTGTGGTGCGGGCGCAACACCGAGGGTTGCGATCCCGTCGCTGGTCCCTGGTGCGGGCGCGACACCGAGAGTTGCGATCCCGTTACCGGTCAGTAAAAAAGACAAAAAGGAAAAAAAAAAAGTTTTTAATAGCTATTTTAAACTCTGCCACTGAATTTTAATATCTGCATTTCCTATAAATCTACTTTTGTCATTTTTTTATTCTCTCAGTTTTTGGTCTTCTGATGTGTTCAGTAATTTTTGATGAAATGCTGGACATTGAAATATGAAATATGTTGGAGATAATTTGAGATTCTGAATTTTTTTTTCCTCCAGGGATTTATGATGCCTCATTGGCAGCTTCTGTTTGCATCTCATTGGCCAGAACTGCATTGTATAACTATCCTTAGCCACTATCCCTCGCCTCAAGTGAGGCTTAAAAATGTCATATTTTGCTAGACTCATAACTGCCCCTCCAAAAATTAAAAAAAAAAGATTTTTTTCCCAATCTATAAAATGATGACAATTATAAGTAAAACTAAACGTTTGTGTGAAAATAGGAAAATTAGATAATTTTTCTAAAATGTTTACAGATTTGGATTTATTACACTAAAAAACATCTTTAAATAATTTAAAGGTTTTGTTCATTTTTTCTTTACTAAAAAGTAACACAGTAGTAGTAGAAACTTTGAAAATAGGGGCTGGCTGGTTAGCTCAGTTGGTTAGAGCATGTATTTTTAACACCACGGTCAAGGGTTTTTGGATTCCTGTGCTGGCCATTTGCCAAGAAAAAGAAAAAGAAGAATAAAGAATAGTAGAAACTTTGAAAATCTAGATTGGTAGTATAAACTTTGAAAATCTAGAGCAAAAAAGAAAAGAGAATTTTCTGAAATCCAAATAATGAAAGGTAACTTCTATCATTATTTCAATAGATGGTCTTGTAGTAATACTGTACATACATACGTATATACATATACACCTTTTTTTTTTTAACAAGTTAACGTTATATTATAAACCCAATTTTGTAACTTGTTTCTTTTACTAAGTATTATGTACATATTTCTATGTTAAAGTATACAATGAGGTAATGTTTTACTGTTTAGAGATTATAATTTCCTTAATTTAACTCATAATGCCCTTTAATTTTAGTGTTCCACCCTAATAGTCTGTGTCTTGTGTCTGCTTGTTCTTTCCCTACACTTTTCTTGACCGTGTTAATACACAATTATGTTATTGTTGACTAATACCCAAGGAATGTTCTGTTTACCAGTCAGTGGGAGTAAAGAACATATTTGGTAGGCTCTGACTCAATGATAATGATTCCTGGTAGAATCCCATTAAATACCTTTTTATGTCTAGGCTTGCCTTGATATACAATACTATGATTTTAGTTGTGAATAAAATGATTATTCTTTTTTCTCTTCTATTTTAATGGTTTTTATTGTTTTAGAAATAGAGTAGATCCTAGACATTTCCTGAGACAAGTTGTTAGCAGACAGTTTCTCCCACAAAGTGCATACATGTTAAAATATTAATACTGCTTTGAGATGCAGATGTCTGTGCCATTAACTAGACTCCCTTGCTAGCCTGGTAACACACACATGCTGGCATGATAGAAAACCAAATTCTAATTGAGTAATATTATAAATTACTACATATTATGGACCTTCAAGGGCACTCTTGAATAGTAGAGGTTGTAAACAGTAAATGCAGTGATAACGTAAGACCTAGCTTATAAATTATATATGCTTTTGTAAATATTTGTACCTAGATTCTTAGTGGAAGATCTGTTTAATTTGGTCCAGCTCCACCTAACTGCTAAGTTTACTACTACTGATGCCTTTGTTGCTTTAGAGCTTAGCTTTCTTGTGCAAACTTTTGTTAGGATCCATCAGTATTTATTGTTCATCACTTACTATCCATCTAACCCTGAGCTTTGTACCTGGTGTATCTGAGATTCATTATTTTATGTCAATTCCCTGTAAAATAGTGAGGGTGATTCAGGTTAGGTTTCTGTGAAAGAATCTGTGAAAATGGTTGTTGCAAAGAGAAGTAGTGACTAGATAACTAACTTTCTTACCTCTGATGAAATCACTCATGTCATCAGCCCCTAGACATCACACTCCTGAAAACTCCACTTGGCACCATAGGAATTTGTCTTGTCAGCTGGGTGGACGTAATCGAGCATTGATTCTTAATGAGTTTAAAATTGCTCATCACCAGTGGCAGGGTAGAAATATCAAGCTCTAGATTATACTGTTAAGCTTTTGTTTCTCGAGAAGTTGATAGTTTGAATTCCTTAATTTTTTTTTTTTTTTTGTCTTTTGTCTTTTTCCGTGTCCGGCAACGGATCGCAACCCTCAGTGTTGCCCCCGTACCGGACCGGGGACCGGCAACGGGATTGCAAGCCTCGGTGTTGCTCCCGCGCCTCGCTCAGCCAGTGAGCAGGAACCGGTCTGTATGTGGGATCCGAACCCTCGGGCGGGAGCGCCGCCGCGCTTCCCAAGCGGCGCACTATCCAGTGCGCCACCGGGCCGGCCCCAAATTCCTTAATTTTTAAAAATTCATCTATTAATGGCCATTTAAGAAAGGACTTCTGTTATTTTGGTATCCTGTCTTTCCATCAATGCTCCTGGCCAAATATGAGGGTACTTCAAATAGTTCATGGAAAACTAGAATTAAAAGATAATACAGGGCCGGCCCTGTGGCTCACTTGGGAGACTGTGGCACTGGTAACGCTGGGGCCGCGGGTTCAGATCCTATATAGGGATGGCTGGTGCGCTCACTGGCTGAGCGTGGTGCAGACCTCACCATGCTGAGGGTTGTGATCCCCTTACCGGTCAAAAAAAAAAAAAAAAGATAATATAAATCTTGTTATCTTTTGTTTATTGTCTCCCCAGCTAGATTGTAAGCTTCTTATAAATAGTGACAGTGTCTTAGACATCTCTGGATTCCTACCCGTTCCACAATGCCTCCTAAACCATAATAGATATTCCATAAATCTTTATTGTTTGATAAAAGTAAATATTGATAGATTGAGTTTTACTGGCTTTAACTTAGTTTTATTGTTTTAGAATTATGTGATTTCTCTGTCTTCTACTGCCTTTGTTCTTATTGCTGGTTTATCTTTTCTGGAACAAGCATCCTACATTTTATCATTTGATTTCATTTCACATATTCCTAAAACATAAGTGTTTATTTTTAATCTATGATAATTGAGGTAAATAAATATTTCTTGAACTGGGCATAAAATTCATAAATTTAAGTACAATGTTTGATATGAGCATTTTTGTCTTATTTTTCAGAACTTTGATTTATGTTGTTGGTTATTAGTCATTTAACAAGTATTTAGTGTGGGCAAAGCCACATGCTAGTGGTCAGTGGATAATTAAATATTTTGGGTACCTTTTGAAAAAGTACATACCTTTAACTAATATTTTCTCAATAAGATAAGACTACTCGGTTTATAATTTTTTTGTCATTATAGGGTAAAGTTCACCTTGAATTAAAACTGAATGAACTGATAACAGAGAATGGAACTGTGTGCCAGCAGCTTGTTGTACAGTAAGTATGTTTCTTTTACAAAAATCAACTAGAAATAACTTTCCATTTTGAATTCTTTGGGTCTTAAGCCAACTCCTTATTTTAAATACTTCAGAAGCTTTTTTCAGAAATGAAACTCTACTATATTATTTCTTTATTAAGTTGATTTACAATTTTTTTTCTCATGTCTAGTCTACTCAGCTTATGGTGAGTCGTTAATTCATTCAACCAATATTTACTGAATGTGGGTTTAATGAGATATATAAGCATTAGAGTATTATAGGATCACAGATAAGGGTATCTAACTACCTGGCAGTGGAGAGTTGGAAAGACTTCCTAGAGGAGGTCCTCTAGAAAATCTCATACACAGAACAGAGCTTTAGAGACCATGGGGCTAGAACTAAATGCCCACACTGAGATTGTCAGTATTGTTTCTCACCTACTTTGAATTCCTTTTTACCTCTTCCATCCTCAGATCATTTTCTATCTCCAGACAACTATTCTAGAAATCTTCTGTTCTAGCCCAATTTTCTACTTCTTGCCTCCCTTCCAAACCCCTTATTCTGTGTTATCAACAAACTTCTAGATATTTTGTCTGTCTTTGCCTTAGCTGTTATATGAATGTCCCCTGAGGTACTGGGTTATTTCTCCAGCCTTCTCAGTCAGAAGCTGTTTTTCTGTCATATACACCACATTCTTTAGGGCCAGAGTGTAGAGTAGATGTTACTCTCTTTATTTCTGCTCCAGACTTTAACTTATTCTCCTAATTGTGAAAACCCTAGGTGAGGCATTCTCTCTCTCTCTCTCTCTCTCTCTCTATATATATATATATATATATAATACTATACATAGCATTATTTATTTAGTTATTTTTTTCTAAACTCTTTGAAAGTTGCATACATTAGGACCCTTTATCCCTTAATATATATCAGTGTTTATTGCCTAAGAAGAAGGATATTCTCTAAACTCCAGTATAGTAACCAAACTCAGTAAATTTAACATTGTTACAATACTTATATCTAATCTATAGTTATATTCTGATACTTTAATCTACAATTATTATATTCCAATTTTGTCAACTATTCCAGTTATGTTCTTTATGGCGTTTTTTTTTCCTTCCAAGAAAGGATCTATTTCAAGATCATGTATTATGTTTAGTTGACATGTCTTTTTAATCTCTTTTAGCCTGGAATAGTTTTTAGCTTTTCTTTTTCTTTCATGGTATTGACATTTTTGAAGAATATGGTCTAGTTAGTTTTTTAGGGTTCTTCAATTTGGTTTATCTACTAAAAACAGTTTAAGATATTTGGTTGCAGTTTTTTTCCCTCTAGACTGAGAGCATACAGTGAAAGTACTTGTGTTAGGCCATCTCCTACTATTCCCTCCCCTACTTCAGTTTGGTTATAATAGTCATTTAAAATATAGTTAGTTGGGTTGGGTTTTTTTTTTTTTTTTTGTCTTTTTGTCTTTTTTCCGTGTCCGGCAACGGATCGCAACCCTCAGTGTTGCCCCCGTACCGGACCGGGGACCGGCAACGGGATCGCAAGCCTCGGTGTTGCTCCCGCGCCTCGCTCAGCCAGTGAGCGGGAGCCGGTCTGTATGTGGGATCCGAACCCTCGGACGGGAGCGCCGCCGCGCTTCCCAAGCGGCGCACCACCCAGTGCGCCACCGGGCCGGCCCCAGGTTGGGTTTTTTTTTAATTTTATTTATTTATTGAATCAAAATCAATTATACATATTTTGGGGGTTGAACATTGAGATATGTTGATTAAATCAATATTGCTAGCATATATATTGTTACAAATCATAATTATTCTTTATGCCCCTTTTGCAATCTCTCACCTTCCCCCATTCCCTCTCCCTCCCCCCTCTAATTGCCCTAGATTACTTCCCTCATTCTGAAAGAATAATGGTTACTCTGTTAATTTGTTGCCTAGATGATCTGTCCAATACTGAGAGATGTGATCAGGTCCCCCAATATTATCATAGAGCAGATGCTTCTTCTGTCACTCTGAAATGGGTTTTGTGGAAAGAGACATCCTCTTCTTTTCTTTGTCTCTGCTGGTGACTCTTCTTGTATGAATGCACTCCAGTGGTTGGCGGGCCCTCTGTGTGGTAGGTGTGGCGTCTAGCCACTTTTGCAGCAGCCATGGTTATTGTGGTGGCTGTGGTGGGCCATCCACGTGGAGGTGCTATTTTTGGTATGCTCCTTGGCACTGGTGGTATGCCTGGTTGTGGCGTGTGTTTGGTCCCCTTCTCCATGCCTCAGGTCCCTGGGTAGGCCCCAAGGCATTGGTGCCATGTGCCTAGTTATGGGAGAGGGGTCTAGTCCCGTTCTTCATGTCCTGTGTCCCTGGACGGGGCCCCAAGGTGCTAGCGCGGTGTGCCTGTGTGAGGGAGTGCAGTCTGGCCCCCTTCTCCATGCCCCAGGTCTCTGGGTGGGCCCCACGGTGCTGGCATGCTGGTTGTGGAAGAGAGGTCCAGTCCCCTTCTTCATACCTCGGTACGCAGGCGGGCCCCAAGGTGCTGGCGTTTTGTGCCTGCTGTGGGAGGAGGATCCAGTCCCTGGGTCCATACTTCAGGTCACTGGGTAGGACCTGAGGCACTGGCTTGGTGTACCTGGTTGTGGGATGGTGCTCTGGTCCCCTTCTCTATGCCCTCGGTCCCGGGGTGGGTTCCGAGGTGCTGGCATGTTGTACCTAGTTGTGGAGGGTGGTCCAATCCCCAACTCCATACCCTGGGTCCCTGGGTGGGCCCCAAGGCGCTGGATCAGTGTCCCTGGTTGTGGGAGGGTGGTCCAGTCCCCTTCTCCATGCCCTGGGTCCCTGGGTGGGGCCCAAGGTGCTGGCATGGTGTGCCTGGTTGTGGGAGGAGGGTCTGGTCCCCTTTTCCATGCCTCAGGTCCCTGGGTGGGCCCTGAAGTGCTGGCTCAGAGTGCCTGGTTGTGGGAGAGAGGTCTGGTCCCTGACTCCCTACCCCAGGTCCCTGGGTGGGCCCCAAGGCACTGGCTCAGTGTGCCTGGTTGTGGGAGAGAGGTCTGGTCCCCTTCTCCATGCTTCAGGTCCCCAGGCTAGCCCCGAGGCACCGGTGCAGTTTGCCTGGAAGTGGGAGTGGGGTCCGTCCCCAGATCCAAACCTCGGGTTCCCAGGCAGGCCCCAAGGTGCTGGTGGTGTGCCAGGGCCGGAACTAATTTTTTGTTCTTTGCTTCTAACGGGGGAACTTCCTGTGGGAACCAGTACTTGAGTGTGTGGTTGTTTAAATTGCTGCTTTGCTGCTGTTTCCCTAGGGAAGGCTTTTTGTGCTGCTCAGTGTTTAATGGTTGATCTTATAGGTACTTCTGGCTCACCAGAGACCCGGTGGATCTGTGTTCTGATCTGGTCCTGAGTTTTTTCATCAAACTGCACCCCATGCAATTTTGCATTCCTGACCAGTCTCCTCTGAGTGGTCCTGTGCTGACTGGGGGGCAGATCAGCTGTCCTTGCTGTGTCCCGGTGTTCCCTGGTGGGCCTGTCTCCCCCACCGCCCTTGCTGCAAACACTTCCCATGGGATGGGCCCTGTGCTGGTCCCTTGTGATGACTCACCAGCCTCTGAACGGCTCCCTTTTTTCAGTTGTTCTGGCTCCTCACTCCTGTGTGGGTCCACATGAATACTATTAGTGGTCTTGCTGTCCTGTAGGCCACCAAGGCCTTCTTCTCCCCTGCCACGTCCAAGTAACTCCATCTGAAGGGCACAGCTGCAGCTTCTGCCAGCTTCTGCTCCGTGCGCTCATCAGCTTGAGTCTTAAAGCAGCTGCGGCCCAAAACGCTCAGAGCAGCTTTTTCTTTCTCTCATTGTAGTTTCTCCCACCTTCATGAACTCCGTAGGTCTCTCCTCCTATTCCCCTGAGCTCCAGCTTCCCCAGCTTGGCTGATGTTACATTTTTATAGTTGTAAATTTGGTTGATTTGTGGGAGAGTGTGATGCTGCGGACCGTCTATTCCGCCATCTTGGTTGGATCGCTGGGTTGGTTTATTTTGCTTGCTTTCAATTTAAGGTTTTCTCTCCCCATTTTATTGTTTGTTTGTTTGTTTGTTTTTAATATGTAGAATATTAACATGATTTCAGAAGTCAAAACCATACCAAAAGGCATTACTCAGAGTTGTGGTTCGGTCCCCTCTCACTAAGCTAAGCTCCAGTCAGCCATGATCTCATTTCTGTCTTTAGGGTTTTTGCCTTTCTAAACTGTCATTTGAATAGAATCGTATAATATGTAGACTTTTATGTCTGGCTTCTTTCACTTACCATAATGCTTGTGTGATTCATTCACATTGTTGCATACATCAAGAATTCATTCCCTTTTTTAAATATATTATTGTTTGTTTTCATAACTTGCTATCCTCATTTTACAGGTGACAAAACGGAACTACAGGTCGATTAAATAAGCCTAAGTTCAAAAAGGAAATAGAGGTGCCTGCATTTGAACTTTGGCAGCTTGATTTTTGTTCAATTTTTTTTCAGATAATTATAGATTTACAGGAAGTTGTAAAGATAGATACACAGAGAGGTTATGTGTACCCTTCACTCGGTTTCACTCAGTGGTTACCTCTCACATAACTACAGCACAGTATCAAAACTAGGAGATTTATATTGGTACAATACAAGGGTACTTCACTGAAAAATAGGATTAAAGATAATATGGATCTTTCCATGAACTTTTTGAAGTGCTCTTGTAGTTATATATAAGCTTATCACATGTGTAGATTGTGTAACCACTACCACAATCAAGATACAGAACTGTTCCGTCACCATAACGATCTCCCTTGTGCTACCCCTTTATGGTCATTTTTTTAGTGGTTGCTTTACATTATACATGCATAACATCATAATCTACTGGTATCAACATTTTACCAGTTAAAGTATAGGCACCTTGTCTTCTTTTAAATCCTTTTACCTTCCTCCCTTTGTAATATACTTTGTCTTAAATATTTCTTCTATATACATTAAGAACCACATCAAACAATGTTATAATTTTTGCTTCAGCCA